CTTCGTAGCACAACCCATTACCAGTTACCCGCGTTGTCCGCGGTATAATTCAGTTATCAAATTATCGCCTCTCATTTACATCGCGTTTGTTCATCTTGTTCGGACGAGACTGTAAACGTTTACGACAATTCGGTGAGCAACGCGTAGGTGTTTCCGCGAGTAAAGACGAGCGTGGTCGAAAGCCCGCAAAGTAGTTCAAGCCAAGGAGAGCCAATAGCGAGCGCGTAATCGTTGGTATAGCATGCGTGAGGAGGTGGTGAAGAAGCACACGCGGCAGCATCTCCTTAACTCTTCCTCCGCGCTTAAATAAATTAAACGAGACATCGCGCGACAAGTAGGCTCGGTGTTACTTACATAGGTACGTGTCTTACGTCATTCGCGCGCGTGGCCGAAGAGGACCACAACTTGCTCCTCTATCCTTGAATCTTGCTCGAAATTAGCCGCAATCAAAGTGCCACGTCAACATCCCCCCTTTGCCCTCTGTTTAACGACGACGGCGCGGCGCTTCCTCTCATTCTCCTCCCGTTCGCGGTCGAGGAAATCGGCGAGACTTCCGTCGCGAATCATCAACTCGATGATGAACTCGGTGAGTCAGTTTGCTAGAATAAGCAGCGTTTAAGAAAAATTCGGTCGCCGTGGCCATTACGAAATCGCGTTTCATCGCGACTACGATTGTTTCGCCAAACGAATGAAAGAGAGCACCTTCCGTAAATGTAATCGCGATCGCATGAATCTAACGTCCCCTCGTTTTATCACAACCGTGTAAGCTACTATGTAGACACAAGATTGTAGATAAAAAAATCGTTATTAGTATATGATTACATTCACCTGCAGATTAAAATTTGAATGTTCAATGTCGTTTTATGACTCGAATTCAAAATTGTAAACCGACGTTGTCGTGTTTATTGCATGATTGTATAATATGTATTGTACGTTGTAGTTTTATGGTTCACAAATAGAGCGCGATATATCTTGAAATAGATCATTTAAATGAGTTCCAAAAACGTCCATGTTAAGGATTAACGAGTAGGACTACGCCAACGGCAACGGATCTTAATTTCTTATATTCTCACAATTAGTTGATAATAATAGTGTAATAAAAGAAAATGTGAAAGAAGCACTTGTATATACGCCGCGCAAACTCCGATTCGAATCGATGCGTGATATCTTCTGTCGCGGGATATAGTACTTGCGCGAGCAAAACTTGACGATGTAAGTAGTGTACAATGACTATACGGCGAGATCGAAGCGCGTTTGGTTAAGACCGCAGATTAACCACCATTGCATTCGGAACGCATCCCTATAGGCTGGAAACCGGCCTCATCCCCGGAGTTGAGTTCTGTACGAGGGTGAGTTTCGTATATCGAAACGAAACCAGTCTTCCCTCTCTTTCGACATCGACATAAGGGTCTGTAGACGTGTAGACTCCGAATCACGTATCTACTGCCATTCCCCCTCTCCCTCTCCCTCTCCCCTTCCATCTTCCTTTTCTCTCTCTCTCCCTCCTCCCTTCCCTCACCTCGTCTCTCGTGATATAAAGCGATGAAAATAATGTAACGCACCGCCACCAAAATCTATTGACACGCCACCCCACACGCACGCATACACGCGCACATCGTCCATTCATGATTACGTGCGTGAGCGCGCGAGAGAAATGAGAGTCGCGACTGGTTGTCGAGATCGAGATGTTAGGGAACCCCTCTGTAAATAAGCAAGATGGCGATGTCAAAATAATTGCAGATAGGCCATAAGATGGTCCAAATTTCTAGTACGAGAAAAAATTTTTCTTCTTTTAATTTAATCATGAATATTGTATACATGTAATCTCTCTCTCAATATTTTCATCGGTCTATAATACTTTACAGACACTTTTGTGTGAAATGTTCGCCCAAGAAATAAAAGACTCGCAAGAACTTTGTCTTTTTATTTCAAAAGGCTCTTTTTTATAAAATTTGCATATTTTCTAAAACTTTAAGTATGAAGAAACAAAAAAAATTTCTAAACATCAAATCTGTCATTATTTAATTTAATTATTAACGCGATGTATCAATAGAATACATATTATCATATTTGTTTGCATTAATGTAAAAGCCATGGTCGATAAAACAATGGGCAGTTAAATGTGCGAGATAGCGGAATAGCTGCACTGACAATAATGAGCGCGAGCAGAGGCTAGAGCACTGCGGAGTAAAGTAATAGTAATCGTAATACTATAACGATATATGTACTAAAGAGCCAGATACTAAATAGTTGAATACAAATAGTTTTACGAGTGCTTTCAAAGACTTCACGTCGACCATTGCGGGCGCGTTTGCGAATAATGCTGACGACATCGACAATAATGTAATAGCGCAAAGTAATTCAGCGAGTTACCGACTACTTACTAAAACGTCAGGAACACTTACGAACTTTACGCGCCTTGCACGTATAATTCTCTCTGCAAAGCAACATTAATGTCTAAATATCTTTCTATGACAAAATTTTAAAATAAATGTTATTTGAAATTTACAAACGTCAGCAAATAGCTCGTTTTAAAAAAGATATGTGTAAAATTAATTGTTATTTGGACTTTATTATTTAGTAAGAAAATAGTTAAGTAGATTCGCCAAAGTATAAATTAAAAATGTTTAGCTAATAAATCAACAATGTATTAATCAATATCAGCATATCTCATTATCTCATCCATGATACTGCATCCATGAAATAAAAAGAAATAATTCTACTGTGTATCAAATTGATTATTATTTTGTTGTATTAAATATTGAATTCTATAATAATATTAAGTATAACATATATACAAGTTGAATAATTCTGATTTATATTTTGCGTACTTACTTATGGGTTATACGTGATGCTCATACGTATAAATCAAATCAAATTAAATCAAATCAAATCAAATTAAATTTACGCGGTATGCAAAAGTGTAAAAGCGTGATGCAACGTCGTCATTCGCTAAACGCATCGCGTAGAAACCAACACTCGTAACGATATCGAACACCTATGCCGTCCTATGCGATACGTAGAAGAACAACAACATGCATACCGTAGACAACTTGCCACTTGTAGCAATTGACCACGCAAGTGTTTACCGTCCCCTTCGAGCTACATGACGTTATGCGACGCGATTTCGCCTTACTTTAGACATGTCGTTCGTTGTTTTACAATGAGTTGTAATTGCAATGATGTAACTTAATTCTTTATAATTTGGATAATGCAACTACCTCATTTTGTGTCTACTCATGCTGTTTACGAAATTGAAATACGCGTCGTTTTGTATTCAGTTACGTCAGAATACAAAAACTATTTTACGATGATCCATGAATGAATGAATCCAAATAAGGAACTTTGGTTGACTTTGTAAGAGTCGTTGATGTGCACAGGTCCATGTGAGCGCTTAGATCGTGTTCAAAACTTTAATCCTCTCGATTAAAACGCATTAATATTCTCAATTGTTATTACGGTAATTAATTTGGATTTAGATGAACGAAATGAACTAATTTAGAGAGGGGGAGGGGGGAGAGAAAGAGAGAGAGAGATAACGTTTGTTTTCTTTGAAAGATTATGGGGATGTGAGGGTTAATAAGATTCGCGCGTACCAGACAAAAGCATCGCGTTAGCTATACTTGAAGGTATAAGAATGCCGAGCACGTCTGGCGGTGGGCAGGCCGCGCGGGTCACAATCCCATCTGCCGATCCTAACCGGTCTCGCTTTTCCTCCCTCGTTCACTCCTCGGCCCTTCAGGCGTTTAAACTCCGGTTAGACGTACGCGAGCGCGCGCCATTATCTTATTTACGAATCATTGTCTCAATGTATCATACCAATATCGCGCCTGCTCGTACCGACCGGCAACACGCTTCTGGATCGTCATCAGAGTGCACGTGAATGCGCTACGCCACGCCGCGCCGCGCCGCGCTTACGAGAAACACCGCTTCACGTCTGCCTTTTCCTCTATCTTAATAAAACTCGCTTGCGAAAAGGCAAATCGTAAAAGAGGTAATCAAGGTAATTATGATATATTCTTTCTTATTTCTGCCAGTATTTAAATTCAAGGGCTCTGAACTTGATCATCTTTTAAAGTTGTACGTGTTGTCAAATTCTTTTTCTAAAAGTGCAACATTTTTAGGCGCGATACATCAAAATCTTTTGTATTGTCTAGAAATCTTGCAACTCGTTTGGAAAATGTTTTGCTGAAGAATGGTCTATCTTTTTGTTTTCCTTACCTTTTTTTTTGGCATTTTGAGAAGAAATGATAAAATATAGAGTTTACGTTCAAGGGTCTTGTTCTTTAATCCTTGCTAGGAAGAAGTGGTTGCAAAGTCAAAAGCCAAGAAGGAAACACCGCAAAGAATGCTGAGATATAGTTTATGGCTATACTACAGCACTAAAGCAATTTTGCAGCGGTGGCCTCGTACGTCCATCTAATTCTAAATGTTGTGTCATTGTGCGTGTTTCTCATCTCGACGAGTCAAACCTTTATCCTATATTGTGTTTTGACACTCGATGGGTTCTGCCTGTTAAATTTTACGAGCGGTCATGACACGCAAGATCTTTCGATTTCGGAGGAAAATCTGTTTTGTTTGGTCTGGTCGAATCATCCCGGAAAGAACAACGTTAATATCATATAGAGACAGTTGATAAAAACTCATGCAAGAATAAACTTTAATGTTGCTTGACATTTCAATATGTTTAGATAACTTTTTATTGATAAAAAAAGATGTGTAATATAACGATAATTAAGTTTAATCACAATTAAAAAAAAAAAAAAATAAAATTGAAAAGTAAAAAATAAATATGAAGTGTATTTTACAATACACTGTACAAAATTAATACGTTTGTAAAAGATTTTTAAAGAAATAATCTATTTAAATTTAGTATAAATTATATACATTGTATGTGTGTGTGTATGGCAATATATTTGCGGTGCGTCGTAAAGTAAATATTAATTGCGACATGGAATTTTTAAAAATGTTTTGGACATTTATTTTGCTGACATCATACATATGTTTCTCGCAGGCATTTATTCTTATTGATCTCAGCTCTATATACATATATAATGTTCGTAATATCTTTAGCAACAATAATTTCTATGTACACATTGTAATAACAAGCTACAAATGACTATTTATAAATTCGACTATACATAATTATCGATTAATCGATGCTGTACATGCTAGGACCACCAAAGAGAGATCACAAGTTAAAATTCTATATATATTTTTATATCGTCATATATATACTGTTCTTCTATATTTCAAAAGTCGCTGAGATTCGATCTCAAAATTCACATTTTGGTAAAGTTCCATCGACGATATTTAATATCGTTGATAAACAAATGTTGTCGTTTGATATGATATTTATAGGAGAAGCAATATCGTGTATTGCTTCTCGTACGAGATTCGAGAAAAGTATGTACAAAAACGAGAACGAGTTCAAATACAAATTAATCACAATTATCGACAATTATCGACAATTATACAAGTTAATTTAGTATAATCGCTCGGTATTCGCATCGGGAATACCGAAATCACGAAAAGACTTGATATTTTAAATATTATATTATTTCATATAACTATAACATATCAATCAATGTTTAATTCCTTTCGAGAAATGGATTTCTCATATAGCTATAATTTTGCTGCTAAAATCGCGTTGTCAATAATATAGATATAGAAAAACAAATTTATGTACAAATTTTGAGAAGAAATTTAGTCCAGCTAAATTCATCAAGTTTCTTCGGCCACATGCGCTATGAATGTTCATCGGTAAGATTTAACGAAATGATGGAATTGTTACATGCAGGGTGAGATCGATCGTGCTGCACTTCCTTGAGATGGCCATTTTGATGGTGAAGATTATGTGAAGATTAGATCGCTTATCAGAAGATGGATTCAGCTTTGTCGACCGGTGAGGACCGTGATGGGTTTGAGAAGGAGCTGCGGCGGACTGTGAGGAAGTGGTCTCGACGGTTGAACAGAATTGCAGACGGTAACCGACGGCGAATGCGGATCCATTGGTTCTGGACTGCTTCCGGGCGAAGCCGTACTAGAGGGAGGTTGACTTAGAACTTGAGACGTTTGACTGAGATGATATCTGGACTGTTGATGAAATATCGACGCCGGTATCGGTGGCATCGTAATAGATCTTAGGGTACTGTAGAAATCCTGGTAAGGATTTCCCGTAGGCGAGATTCCGGATGTCGGGATGCTGATACCGCCGGGATAGCCAGTAGGTGCTTGCAGTAACCTTTCGACGGAGAAGGCCCCGTGAGTCGAAGGTGCCGCCGTCGCTGGGAGAGGCTGCGGCTTGCAAGGTAGGCTTGTAGCCGACGACGTGGTTGCCGCTCCGGGTAACAAGCTGGCCGGATATCCGGCGGGGGTGGCGTAAGAGCCGGCGGTCACCGGAGGATACGCAACGGTGCGATGAAGACAGAGCGACGAGGGCAGAGCGTAGAGCGACGTTGGCCATCCCGGTGGTGGGTAAGGTGTCGGATAAAGACCGCCGAGCACCACGCTCCTCTTGAAGGCCGCTAGTCGCGACCTGGAAGCCGCCGTGGTCCTGCGTCGGAGTTTTCCCGTCGCACCTCCGATAAACACGTCCTCGGAGCTTGGGTCCAGCATCCAGTAGTTGCCCTTCCCCGGATCGTCATAGTGACGAGGTACCTTGACGAAGCACTTGTTCAAGGACAGATTGTGTCGAATGGAATTCTGCCAACCTTGCTTGTTATTCTCGTAGTAGGGAAAGTGGCGCATTATATACTCGTAGATGCCATTCAAGGTGAGTCGCTTTTCGGGGCTTTGTCGAATGGCCATCATGATTAGCGCGTTGTAACTGTACGGTGGTTTGTCCGCCTTCTTCTTATCCTCCGCCTGCTCCTTCGAGTCCTTCTGGCTCGTCGGGCTGATGGACGTTGCACTGGTGGAGCAATCCAAGGGCGGCGTTTCCGCGCCACCACCGGTAACATCGAGATCACTGCAATCGTCGCTATCGTCCGCGTGACCGACGTCGGAAGAATCCGACTGGCTGGCCGACGGCGCGGGGGTCCCGGCACACGCTTCCGGCAAAATGCTACGGATGCTGAAGTTGCTCTTCAGAGCAGCCCGTGGCGGCGGCGAAGCTGTCACGGTATGCTGCTCGCCCGAGCCCTCCATATTCACCATGCTTCCTTCGAACGTTTCTCGTTGTGTAACACCGTACTCCGCTTGCACTTTCAAATCCGTACCTTGTCACATATGCATGTATACGTTCACTCAATTTTTAAATACATCTCCGATTATTTCCCTTCTACATTTTTTCCCCGTTCAACTACACAACACACCGAACGATCGTTTCCTTCTTTGTTTCTTTCTTCTCTCTGTTTCTCTTT